ACGGCAGACAGAGCTCAGTAGACGACACTGGAGGTCCCTCTGCACGGGCCAGAGAAGTGGTCAAGCTGTCCCTGAGTACCCTCTCGGTGTCCCTGCACTCCCACGTGCCCCGGGGGGCCTGTATGGATCTGCGCCCTGCAGCCCATTGTTTGAGAATGCTGCCAAGTCTCAGGCAACCTTGTAACCTGCAAAGCACCCCACACATGTTAAGTGATACTATTTATTCACTCGGAGTTACTGAGACCCTGTTGTTTGTTTGTTTGTTTGTTTTTAGAGAGATTTTTGCTATAGGGCGCGTGCCCTCGCAGGAAAGACAGAGAGAGAGGGAGACAGACAGTGAGAAATCACCCCCCGGGGGGGATGGCCACGCCGTAATCCCTTCTCCTCCATTCTCCTCTCTAAACCCCGTTGTTACATCATGGCTCTCTGCGGGTGACACAGAAGGGAGTACGTCTGTCCCCACCTTGAGGAGTCTGGTCACCAGGACATAGGAAAGGCCTTCAGAAAGTCCACAGACAATATTACTGTTTAAAAAAATGCATGGAATTTTCAGTTGTTGCCCCCAAATAAACCCACGTATCATTCCATTTTTCTATGAACTTACTGAAGTCTTTTCCGATTTATAAACCACTTAACGTTGGGACAAGAGTTATTTGTATGAATCTGTTTTTGCGTCTCTGCTCAGGCTTTGCGAGCCGCTTGTGTGGGGTGCATTGCAGGAGACAGAGGGTAGGAGAAAGCACGTCACACCAAGGAACCAAGATTCCTGGATGTTTTCCCTCGTACCTGCTTGGGCTAGATATCTCGATCTTAGACAAGCCATCTAACCCGTGTGCGTCTTTGCCTCCTTGTCTGCAAAGCTGGACGAGAACCCCAGCCTTCTCACGCAGGACCTTGCAGTGAGGCCCCCATGCAGGGCCACGAGTAGTGAAGGCCGCCAGGACCGTCCGAGGAGGAGGGCCATCATTACCTTGCAGCCTGCTCCCAGGGCCTCCCCTGGGCTCTGGGAAACCAGCCCCGTATCTGGGTGTCTCGGGACGTGAGTGAGATCTCTGGGAGGGCGCTACTGGAGACCAGCGTGCCCACTCTCCGGATGGCACTGCGTGAGAGGGACAGCACCCGGAGGGCCGGCAGTGGTTCAAGTGGGGATTTTCTGTCCCCGGGGCTTTCCTTGTCCCCTTGATGTCTGGATGAAGACTAACAATTAAAAAGATGTGCTTCTGCTGTTTTCGTTTACTTAAACCTGTCCCAGCGGCTCCTCTTGACAGCCCTGTGTTTATAAATGAGAGTTCAGAGAGGTGAAGGGACCCTCCCAAGGTCACTCTGCCAGTCGGGAGCAAATGTGGGCGTAACCTGGGCAGCCAGCCCTGATTCGGTCCCGGGCTAGTTGGCTGTGTCGCATGCTCGTGGGCACAGGGTGACATGGGCCATCAGCTCCATTTGACGGTTGAGGCAACATAACCCAAAGACTTGCTTGGTCACGTTGCTAGTGCCAGAGAGTCCCTAAGCAGCTACCTTCTGTGCGACAGAATGAGTGAGCCAGCGAGGACTGGGAGAGAGTCGCAGGGACCCCGAGGGTGTCCGAGGAGCTGCGACATTCGCTCGGTGTGTACCGAGTCAGCCAGACACTGAGCGGAGAAGCTGCTGGGAATACGAGATACTGTAGGTATCTGTAAACCCCCAAGCGGCTTACAGGCGTGTGGACAAGTCTCAGTGGAGGTCTCTGCTCAAATAACTAAAATGAAAAACAGACACGGGATGAGGCCCGCAGGGGGTGTAGCGGTTAAGGCGCTGGACTCCCCCGGGGCCGACCACAGTTAAAAAATCACACAGGGCGGGGGGTGGGGGACCAGCAGTTAGAGTAATGGCTATGTCGCTGGACTCCCACGTAGTTGACTGTGGTTCACATCCCGGACCCGGTGGCTTAAAACTCAAGCCAGGCGCGTGTGCGTGCGTGCCCAAGATCCCGAGAGGAGAATGGAGGAGAAGGGATTGCGGCGTGTCCATCCCCCCTCGGAGGTGATTTCTCGCTTAGACATAGACACTCTCTCTGTCTCTCTCTGTCTGTCTGGCGAGCGCACACGCCCTATAGCGAAAAAACCTCTCCAAAAAAAAAAAGAAAAAGAAAAAAAATCACACCAGGCACATGGGCGTGCATGGCCAAAATGCCAGGTGGAGAATGGAGAAGGGATTGCTGTGTGGCCATCTCCCCCGCCCCCCACTCTGTTTCTCGCTCTCCTTTCTGGCAAGCACACACTCTATGCTCAAAATCCATTTATTTTCATTTAAGTAGATAGAAGATTGTAAGGGAGGAACAGACAAAGCTGCGGCAGGCCCTAAGCAGAGCGGGAGCTCATGCGTTGAAAAGATCCGGGCAGGCTCTATTGAACCAGAGGCAACCGGGCTGGGCCCTCGCAAGGAGGAGGAGTGTGTGCGGTGAAGGCTTGGCTGGGATAGCCGGGCTCTGAAGACGGCCCCCTGGGCTGTTTGTGGGTGAATAGCCGGGGGAAGCAGGGCGAGCTGACCCTGGAAGGGTCCATGCCTGCCCCTACTGGGCTGACTCACCGCCTGTTCTGTCCTGGCGGGGCCTCGTTGCAGGAGGACATCCATCTCAGGGAACTGGAAGACGAACACGGGCTCCGCCATGTTGGAGCAGATCGCCATGTCAGACAGGTGAGTGATGGGAGCCACCCAGTGCCCGGTCCAGTGAGGCCGGCCCTCAGGGAGCCCCTGAGCCGATGGGACAGATGACCCCAAGGGCCCACGCAGCCAGTTTGAAACCTAGCAGGACCAGCTCATGGGCTAAAGTATGGAGATGAAGACCATGTGTACCATAGACACTCCAAGAAAGGAATAGTGTGGGAGGGAAGAGCCCAGGAAGGCTTCCTGGAGGAGGTGAGGCCTGCTCTGGGCCTAGCAAGCTGGGTGGGATCTGAGGAGCAGAGGGGAATGCGTTTGATGGAAGGAAAGGGTGGGGATGGAAGAGCTGGAGCAGCAGGGGCAGCCTGGCAGTGAGGCCTGCTCTGGGCCTAGCAAGCTGGGTAGGATCTGAGGAGCAGAGGGGAATGCATTTGATGGGAGGAAGGGACGGGGGAGATGGAGCAGCAGGGACAGCCTGGTGGCAGGTAGGCTTGATGTGAGCCACTGCCCCAGCCTCAGGACGCCTCCCCACCCCGTCCAGGTACAAGCTGTGGGTGGACACCTGCTCTGAGATGTTTGGAGGCCTGGACATCTGTGCTGTGAAAGCCGTACATGGCAAAGATGGGAAAGACTACATTTTTGAGGTAAGTCTGGCCCGCGTGGAATCTCGGTAAGAGACAGCCCCCGAGGTGGAGGCCAGGCTCGGGAGAAGCAGACGGGCGGCTCACACTGCATGTCAGTTCAAGTCTCCTGAGCCACAGGAAGGTTCCAGAAGCGGAACAGTGGATCTGTGCTGTAAGACACCCCCACTAGCAGGGCCCTGCGCTTTCCAGCCTGCTCGGCTGACCCGCACCTGGGGGGAGAGGTGCCAGAGCTGGGTCCCTGGGAGTTGTCTGACCAGCCTGCTCATTCAAAGGTGAGAAACCTGACCCTGAGCAAGTGCCTGAGGTCAGAGCAACCCGACCCAGTGTCTCTGCGTGGCACCTAGATGCAGGACATTCTTCCTGGTGTCCCGCCGAGCCCGGGAGACACCCGACCCAGCCTGGGCCTCCGAGCGACTCGCGACTCCCTGTCCCCTTTGCAGAAGGGAAGCCGGTGGCCATGTGAACACTCACGCACGTCCCCACTCGGTCTCCCCGAGAATCGGCTTCTTGCCAAGAGCTTGCGGTGTTTCCAGAGGATCAGTGTCAGGGCACAGAGAGGACCCTTGACTCAGAACCTGTCCCAGGGCCTGCTCTGGGCGGAGCCTTCTGTGGGCAGGCCTAGTGTCCCCACCCACTAATGCAGTCTACCATCTGGTAAGGCAGACCGTCCCTAAGGGAGGGAAACACTGACCCGGGCCTTGAAGTCCAGGAAGAAGCAGGCTTGTTGGCAAATGAGGAAGGCATCCCAGCTCGGGAGCGAAGGCGGGAATCGAGCCCTCTAATGAGCAGAGCCTGTTTGGAGACAGAGATCGTGCGGGTGACAAGTCACAGAGATGAAAACTGTCCTCCCCAGAGACACAGGGGGTGGGCCTTTGTGTCTACCTGCTCCCCTGGGGCCGTGCCCGTCCCTTACTCTCCATCTGTCCCCACTGCCTTCAGCCAGCGGTCTTTGGGGCTCTCCAAGCCTAGTGAAAGGTTAGGGGAGGGCCCGAGTTGAGGTTCGCAGGAGCGGGGGACAAAGGTGCTTTTTCTGCACAGAAACATGCTTCCAGCTGACAAGGGCATGCACCTCCTCTCCAGCTCATCTCCCTGCCCCTCTCCCCAATCCAGGGCCTATCCTTCTGAAAGCCACAGCAGGCCCTGATGGGTGCAGACCCCACCCTCAGCGGGCCCCCACAGCAGGTGCAGACTCCGCCCTCACTGGGCCCCCACAGCAGGCCCTCAGGCGCGGACCCCGCCCTCACCTGCCGCGTCTCCCTCCAGGTGGTGGACTGCAGCATGCCGCTGATGGGGGAGCACCAGGTGGAGGACAGGCAGCTCATCACCGAGCTGGTCGTCAGCAGGATGAACCAGCAGCTGTCCCGGACTCCTGCCCTGTCTCCTCAGAGGCCCTTAACCACCCAGCAGCCACAGGTAAGCAGGGGCAGACAGGGCAGCCACTCCAGACGTCGGTGACTATAGGGTGGAGTAGAGGCCAGATACCCACAGGCCTGAACAGGGTCCCAGGGATCTCCCTCCTCTCTCCCGCCCTTGCCCTCCAGAGGCCTGATTCTCTCCCTCCACCCTGAACAGCGGCCTTCTCAGGAGCCGTCTGCGGACTCGGCCACAGAGCTGTCCAGGGCGGAGCACTGGGTCTCTGAACTGGACGTCTCGGGCAAACCAGAGCCGGTTTCTTCTGGGACTCAGGCTGCCCCCACTTTTAAAGTGGGAGGTCTCTCAGGAACAGCTGCTCAGATGGCTCGTGAGATGTTCTCCGTGACGGGTCTGGTGCACGCGTAAAGGAAGAACGGCCTTTCTGAGCAATCTGCAGGTCTGGAAAGAGGACAGGGTCGGGGCCCCTGTTCTAGGAGAGCGTGACGGGGCACAATGCAAATGTCCCCACAGTCCACTTTCCTTCCCGAGGGCGAGGAGGCGGCCCTGCCCAGGTGACTGGTGCATGACACAGTGCTAGTGACAGTGGCCCAGCTGCAGGTCTCCTGGGACTCCCACAAGAAGTCGTCAGCGAGCTTCGGGCCTGTGGCTTTAGAATGGGCCAAGGAACGTGGGCACCCAAGCCCCGCATGCTTCAGTCCCACAGGAAGTATCTCTTTTTGTTTCTTGTGGAGAGGTTTTTGCTATAGGGCACGTGTGCTCACCTGAAAGACAGAGAGAGACAGAGAGACAGAAAGCGAGAAATCACCCCCCCGGGGGGTGGGGGGGAAGGCCACGCCGCAATCCGTTCTCCTCCATTCTCCTCTCGGGATCTTGGGCACGCACGCACACGCGCCCGGCGTGAGTTTTAAGCCACCGGGTCCGGGACTTGAACTGTGGTCGACTACGTGGGAGTCCAGCGACATAGCCATTACGCTTATCTCAAAGGAAGTATCTCATTGTTCAAAAAGCTCCACAAACCCTTCTCTCCACTGAACCTCTGTATTATGAAGTGGTAAACACTTGGGACAATGAATCCAGGAACTGGGTCCTAGGGCCAGCTGGTGGGGTGGTGGTTAAAGGACTGGATCTCACATGAGAACTTTGCCGTTTGAATCCTGGACCCGGCAACTTGAGAAACACACTAGGTGCGTGTATGTGGTGCCCAAAATCCTGAGAGGAGGGATCGTGGCATGGCTATTCCCCAGGGTGGCGATTTCTCCCTTTCTCTCGCACTGGTGAGCACGTGTACCTTATAGCAAACAAACAAACAAACTGAGTCCTGATCTAGTTCTTCCAGGAAATAGCTGTGTAACTTTGCAGACGTAACTAGTCTCTCTCAATATTGTATTTGTAAATCAGAGTTCTTTCCTTCAAAATCCATCTTCGAATAGGGAAGTAGCGGGGGCCAGCAGGTGGCATAGTGGTTAAGATGCGGAACTCCCATAGGGCCGACCGCGGTGTGAGTTCCCGACCTGGCAACTTGAAAATCACACGGGGTACGTGTGCGCATGTGCCCACGATCCCAAGAGGAGAACGGAGGAGCGGCTGCAGTGTGGCCATTCCCTTGGGGGATGATTTGTTATATTCCTTCTCTCTGCCTCTCTGTCTCTCTCCAGTGAGAGCATGCTCCCTATGGCAAAACCCTGGGGGGAATAAAAGGAAAAGAGGGACCAGCAGTTGGCATAATGGCTATGTTGCTGAACTCCCATATAGTCGACCATGGTTCGAATCCCAGACCCGGTGGCTTAAACTCATGCCAGGTGCATGTGTGTACATGCCCAAGATCCCAAGAGAAGAATGGAGAAGAAGGGATTGCAGCGTGGCCATCCTCCCTGGGGGTGATTTCTCGCTTTCTCTCTCTCTCTGTCCTGGCAAGCACACGCGCCCTATAGCAAAAACCTCTCTTCCTCCAAAAGAAAAAAAAAAAAAAAAAGAAATACTTCCAAAAATAACTGACTAAAATAAAACAGCATGAGAACTGGTAAGTAGGTCCCCCTCTGAATCCCTTCCCCTCCTTACAATATGGTGCAATATATCCACACCTTCTGTGCTCCGCGAAGTTCATGAGTAGAATACTTCCATTCTCACGGATGCTGGATACATGGGGACTTCTGGGCCAATACGTGTCAGCCCCGACTCGGGGTACCCTAAGTCAGGGTCGCCCTGCGAGGTGAGACGTTGTCATATAAAAGAGAACTTCAGACAGTTCGTGGAAAATGGAACGCACGTACAGGTTTATTTGGGTGCCAAAAATATTTTGAACTACCTTTTTCAAAATATGCATTTCCCATGACCTTTTAGAAGACTCCTCAAAGGAGCACTTGGTGAGTTTCACACCTTCTTTCCTGGCCCGCACTGTCCGAGCTCTGACAAGGAGTAAGAATATTCCTGTACTCCACACATGTTAAGTTGCTGGAGAATCAGGGTAGGGTGGTTGGAAATCGATACTTAATTGCTTGTTAGAGACAAGCCCATGAAAATACTGTACTTAACTGGAGGTTATAGAAAGATTTGGGGGGTTTACAAACATTGGGGCTAGGGACCAGCAGATGGCATAATGGTTATGTTGCTGGACTCCCACGTAGTCGATCATGGTTCGAGTCCCAGACCTGGCGACTTAAAACTCATGCCATATGCTTGAGCAGGAACATGAAGAAGGGACGGTGGCAGTGGCCATCCCCTCAGAAGGTGAGTTCTCACTTTCCCTCTCTGACCCTCTCTGGAGAATGAATGCACGTACCCTTTCTTCTAGTCTTTGAAAGACACTGCAGACATTGTGTGAGGAGAGCCTGGCCCAGGCTTGGGCAGCTGAGCCCTTCTCAATTCTCCTGATGAACAAGAGCCTCCGCCAGGCCGCCCAGCACTCTAGCCACCAGGAGGAATGGAGGTTAAAACGTGAAACGGGGGGATCAGCAGATGGCGTGACGGTTATGTCACTGGATTCTCACCTAGTCGACCACAGTTTGAGTCCCGACCTGGTGGCTTAATACTCACGCCAGCCATGTGTGCCTAAGATCCCGAGAGGAGAATGGAGGAGAAGGGATTAGTGTGGCCATCCCCCCACCATGGGGTGGTGGTGGGGGGGTGATTTCTCACTTTCTCTCTGGGGAGTGCACGTGCTCTATAGCAAAAAAAAAAAAAAACATTCTTAAAAAAAAAAAAAAAAAAAAAGAACTTAGGCCGGGGTAAGAGAACCTGATGCAGTGGGCCTCTCTGGGATCCTGTGGGAGGCCGGAAGTACTTTATAGCTATGTGGACCCCCGTTGGCCTCCTCTAAGAGAAGCTATTCTGAACCAGACTGGAGGCTGTGCTGAGAGTCAGGAGAGCTGAGTTCAGCCCTGACCTTGCCCTGACTCCCCAGATGACGTGGGAGAGCATTCTTCCACTTCTCAGTCTCAGTATCTTCGTGTGTGAAATGAAGGTTGGACAAAAATAAAAATAAAAAAGCTGAGAGGCCAGCAGGTGGCATGGTGACTGAGGTGCTGGACTCCCACATGACTGACTGTGGTTTGAGTCCTGGGCCTAGCGGCTTTCTTTCTCACTTTCCCTCTCTCTCACTCAATCTCTCTCTGGTGAGTGCACATACCCTATAGCAAATTAAAAATAATAGGGACGGCAGATGGCATAATGGTTATGTCGCTGGACTCCCAGGTAGTCAACTGTGGTTCAAGTCCCGGACTGGGTGACTTAAAACTCATGCTGGGTATCTGTGCGTGCGTGCCCAAAATCCTGTGAGGAGAATGGAGGAGAAGGGATTGCAATGTGGCCATCACCCCAAAGGGTGATTTCTCGCTTTCTGTCTCTCTGTCTCTCTCTGTGTCTCCAGTGAGCGCACGCACCCTATGGCAAAAATAAATAAATAATAACATTAAATAAATAATTCTTTTTTTTTTTTTAAAGCTGAGAACCCTTTATAAGATCTAGAATATTATGAAAGTGATATCTTGGGCCAGCAGGTGGTGTGGAGGTTAAGGAGGCTGAATTCCACATAATCTTCTTC